CATGTGAGGGATTGTTAGAAATAATGGTTTTATAAGCTTATTTTGGGCCATCTTTGAGCCTAAATTTAAGTGCGGCCCACACGTCTTCTGAGGTAGGTCCAAAGAGGTGACATGTTCCTTGTCGCATGGTAAGTCACATGGTGAAAACGGTTCATCAAAACCATTTATGAGTGAATGGGAAGTTGACGTCGTTTTCGGATTTGTGGAATGGACAATTAAAGAATTAAATGTGAGTTTCCTTGTAAGGCTTGTCCCACATTGGAAACTTAAGAGAACTTATGTATATATATAAGTTCTAGGTGGCAACACTTAGGTTGGACCCCAAGAGGCACCCTAAGTTTGTAGAATGGAAGAATTATGGACAATGTGAACCTTAGCCCAAACCACCACAAACGCGCGCGCGCCGCCGGCCATGCCATGCCGGGCGTGGGTGTGGGTTGTGGGTCGGGTCGGGTCGGTTCTAACTTTAATTTTTTGGACAAAATTTATTTGAATTTTTTCCAAAAATACTTACGGGAAAATTAATTTTCTGAATGAAATTAATTCAAATTTTGTGTCAAATTTGAATTCAATTTCTGTCCTAAATTTTTTCCTCCTTCAGTGTAGTTCCAGCAAGTCCAGTAGGTTCAAAAAGACCAAACATATTCGATTTTTTTCCAGGACAGATTCAAACTGCCCAGCAGTTTCTGAACAGATATGAAACTGCTGCAGTTATTTATTCGAAATTTGAATTGTATCTGTTGCACCTGTTCATTCAAAAACCTACCTGTTTGGTTTGATTTTCAAACCTGTTCGGGTCTATATATACCAGACCATTTCCAACAGTCAAGGTATTCTGAAAATCATCTTCTTGCCTTTCTTTTGCTCTCTTGCATAGATATATTCTTCATATTATTTTAAGAAAAAATTCAGAGAATAAAGAACACAGGTTTTTGTTCGCCGTACAAATTGTTTGGAGTGTTACTACAATTTGTGAAGATCATTGTATCCTGAGAGATAGACGCCATTAGTTCGTAAGTACCGTAACGGGGCAAATTTGTCTTAAGGACAGAGTGTCACATACTCGACTTAATCCTTTTGTACTTTTCATTTCGATTAAATAAATTCGGTAAATAATTTATTTTTTATTTGTTTGATTTGTTTCAAATTATTTATTTTACACAAAAAATTATTCTTACATAGAGAAGGGGAAATATCCCATCAATATAATTTTACAAAAATATTTATAAATTAATAAAAAAAACTTTATACATAATAATAATAATTGTAAATTTTTTCATAATTGAATATATTATTTGTCTGACACGTGTTGGAGTGATTGCCCCTTTATAGAATTACTGCAAAACCTTTATGCATTGAATAACATAATGTTTTGGAGCAAAAGTTAAGCTTCAATTCACATGATGATGTGCCTGGGATGGATGGTATATATCTTATTCAAAGAACAAAAATGTTTTGGAATTTAGAAAAATGCTTGGGAGCACTAATTAGTGCTCCTATTAATTAGGTGGCAGTGAGTCTCGTCATTAATGATGTGATGTTTTGGTCTTCGAATTGTATTTTTATTTTATTTTTTTAATGCATTAGTGCTATTAGTGGTGGTGTTTTTAGTGGGGATAAACCATTGTCGTGGAATTTAATATGGGAGTTTTAATATGTACGCCCAGTCTATTTGACGTGATATTTTGATTTTTTTTTTTTTTTTTTTTTCACGCTCAATTAAAGATTTAGTTTTATAGAGACGTATCATACTGATTCATGGAAATGGGAAAGATTCGATGACTTCAGGTGGAACAAAAGAATAGGGCATTTGTGGTATCCAATGTGCATTTATTGCCAAAAATAGGGGAAGAAAATGGAAAGAAAATAATAGAAAAAAAATATCACATCAAATAATGTTATAATGTTATAATATTATATGTATCAATTAATGTATTAATTAATATATTAATAGATGATGTGGTATAATTTTAATAGTTTTGGGTATTTATAATCGGTGGTGTTACATATACCAATTAATGTACCAACTAATGTTATGATATTATTATTGACCACATTTATTATACAAGTTACAAATACCTAAAGCCATACAAATAATGTCACATCATCGGTTAGTACACTAGTGTATACATTAATTGATACATATAGCATTATTCATTTATAATTTGTATAATAAGTGTGGTCAGTAATAATGACATAACACTAATTAGTACATTAGTGTAGTGTGTATATTAATTGGTACATATAGCACCACCAATAGAAAAAAAGGCTCAAAAAAGAAGATTTTTAATGACAAATCCAACAAAAACATGACAAAGAGGGATGGTTGAGATATTTAAATTTATTTATTTATTTTTTTGGGTGTTGGAGAAGAGATTTAAATGTTAGACTCAAAATAAATGCATCATGCAAGTCTTATTATCACGTATTAGGAACAAAATAAATAGGGTGATTATTTGGTAGTTCAGGAATATGATTACGTAGTGTTTTATGATAGTATGATTGATAGAAAAAAAAGGATATTAATTAATTATTTGTGTTAGATTATTAAAAAAAGTATAATAAATAGTAATTGATCAGGAAGAACGATCACATGTATTCCAAGAGTTCCTAATAATTTTCCATAAATGGATAAGAGATTTGAGTAGAGTGATGGTTGTTGCTTTTAGCTTTAAAAGCTCAAAAATGCTAGAGATCCCAAAAATTCTACTAAAAATTTTACCAAATGTCTCACATGGGTGTGGGACCCACATGGGACCCACATTGTGTGGATCCCACACTCATGTGAGACATTTGGTAAAATTTTTAGTAGAATATTTGGAGTCTCTAACATTACTCTTAAAAGCTTTCTTAACTCTTAATTTGATTTTTTTTTTCTTTTCTTTTTTTCCTCCTTCTATTAGAGGGCAAAATTTCACTTTAAAAAATTCTGAATTTTCACTTTTACAGTGGACACAATGAAATAATAATCATTTTATAACCCTCAATTTGGAATTTTAGCATTCAAATTAAAATTAAGTACTCTAATTTTTTTTATTGTCCTTCAATTTTGTAATTTTTATTCCCTCATTTTGAAATTTCTCTATTTAAAAAGATATGAAATTTTACTGCCCATAAATAGTTGAATTTCACAATTTGAAAACAACGAACACAATAAATTTGTCATTTTTTTCTCTAAAATTTTTATATTCAACACATATATCTTGACGAAACTATTTCAAAAACACTATTTTTATAAATAAATAAATAAATAAAAACTTGTAGAATAAAAGTTATTTAAAAAGATATGAAATTTTACTGCCCATAAATAGTTGAATTTCACAATTTGAAAACAACGAACACAATAAATTTGTCATTTTTTTCTCTAAAATTTTTATATTCAACACATATATCTTGACGAAACTATTTCAAAAACACTATTTTTATAAATAAATAAAAACTTGTAGAATAAAAGTTACAGAATTTTGAATTTTAAAAAAATGAAATTAATTAGGAGCATGTTTGATGAATTTTATTTTACTTTATGTTTTTTTTTTTAAAAAATCAAAACAATTGAAGGAAAACACTTTTTTCACACATTTCCCCAATTGCTTAATTTTTTTTATATAAAATCTCAACTTTAATATCTTGGACGAGTATTTTGTATAATGAGTACACCATGCTGATGTATTCATTATTATTTTATTTTTATTTTTTAATTTTTTTTTTTGAACAAGATATATTCGTTATTAGCTCCTCTCCTTACCTTCGTCTCTCTTTACTCCTCCACACCCCTCTTATGAGTTCCAACCCAAACCCACACCAATGATTCCAATCATCTACCACAATATATTGGTCATTCACAAAAAAAATCAATTTCATATCGGATATTTATAAACACAAACAAATCACATTTTACATTAATAATCTTTACTGCGAGTTACAAAATAGATAGTTCGGATCATCTATGTGTGTCCAGGATAGGGCCCACAAGAAGAGTATGGGCGAGTATGACCTCATCCCTTATATTTAAGTACATAATTATATTTAAAAAAATTGGTAACATGTTAAATGTGCTTAATTGGCTACTTAAAATGACAAGGTTTCCTAAAATCAAAGGATTTTGTTAATCCTCTACTCTGTACATATATTTCACATAACAAGCAAGCATTAAGTCATAAACCACTCCAAACAGAAGTAGAAGGAGGTGAGATGGTAGCACTCAAGGTTTTCTTTGCCTTTCTTAGTGTCCTTCTTATCAGTGCACAAGGTGAATTACCTATCAATCTTTTTCTCTTTTCTTTACTTTTATTTTTTATTTTTTATTTTTACACTGCTAACATGGTCCATATCTATGAACACCGAAAGGAGTAGACAAGGTAGGATGTTGCCTGAGAAAACAAAGGTCTTAAACATCTTCTTCTGGTGGCCCTAAGGGTTGACTTGGTAATGGCATGATTGTTTGAGTTTTTTTTTTTTAAGCGAAAGTCAATTGTTTGAGTTAGAAGTATTATGGGTTCTTTCGCCCACCTCATAAATTCTCAGTTCATATCATTTTGTTCTTTGAATATATATCAACTGTTGAGTACCATTTTGTTGGGATATAGAACAACTTTTGAGTAAAAATCAGATGTTCGGATGTAAATCCTATTTAGTATAGTTGATATATGAACAATTGCTTTTAGTTTAAAAGTTAAATAATTGAAAATTGAGACAAAATGTGATGTGTAAGCTCCTGAGTACTATACATGTGCTTAGGGACTGACAAGTGCTCCAAGACTTCTAAGCTCCTTCTTAGGTTGTCCTAAATCTATGATCCAAATACGGACTTAAGAATTAAAAAAGAAATAAATTTTTTCTTTCTTTCTTTCTTTACAACAGAAATTTGATATATATTGTCAACCATATTCTTACAAACCATCTTCAAAATGGTTAGTTTAGCAAACATTTTTTCTTTTGTTTTTGGTACAAAGCAAAGATCAGCAATGCTAGGAACACTAACACAGATAGATGTCTCATAGATGGTGAATCCACATGTGAGTCTCATATTATGTAAGTCCCACACTTTGTGAGACATGCGTGCACTTTAGATTTCTTGTTGTTTAGAAGTAGTTGGTGTGCTAACCATTGTATATGTAGGTTTCGAAAAGTGTTCTCTATCTTCAATCAAGGTGGAAATAACAAAAACTGGGCGTGTTGTGAAGGGACAACCAGAGTATGAAGTTGCATTTAGTGTCAATGACGACTGCCCATGCGTTGAAGTTCAGGTTGTAGTAGGATGCAATGGATTCAATAGTGTTGAGCCGATTGACCCTTTCATTATTAAGAAAGACGATTCTGTGGGTGGATGCTTGTTGAAAAATGGCGGATCACTTTTTCAAGAGGAGCCACTCAAGTTTAAGTTTGCAGGCCAATTACCCACTGATAATTTCAAACCTATAAGCTCTACGATTGCCTGCTCTTAATCTCAGTAATGAATCAATCCTGCAACTGTGTGTGTGAGAGTGACAGAGACTTGTATCAAGAATTATGTTATTCTTCTTCGGATTTGAATATGAACTATGATATAAATAATTGGTAACATTTTTTTGTTAGCAGTAAAACATGTTTTTTATGATGATGCTCATATGTCGTATGAGAATGTAAGGTTTGAAGTAATGTGGCCAACATATTACTCTCTACTCATCAACCAATTATCTTGTTAACACATCATTACAAAGTGAGTTTACAAAATGGACTTGTATTGAAAAATGCTAGAGATCCCAAAAATTTTATCAAACTTTCTACCAAATGTCTCATATAGGTGTGGGACCCACACCATGTAAGTCCCATGTGGGTCCACTACAACAATTTACACTTTTGGCGACTAAACTTTTTTTAGTCACCAAAAGTTCTAGAATAGGTGACTAAAAATTACATTGGTCGGTGTTGAATATGGTTTTTAGCTAATAAATTTTTTTAGTAGCTATATCTTAATTATTGACGACTAAAAAAATTTAGTCACTAAATATGCCACAATAGGCGACTAAAAATTATTTTAGTCAGCATTAATTCATATTTTAGGCTACTAAAAATTTTTTTAGCCGTCGTATATCAATTTTTGTCTACTAAAATAAATTTAGTCGCCAAAAAGCTAGCATAATGTTTCCTATTAAACTTTGGCGACCAAAGTTTTGGTTTGCAATTATTCATTTTCGATGACTAAAAATTTTTAGTCGCTATACAGTAATTTTTGCCTACTAAAATAATTTAGTTGCTAAATAAAAAGCATAAATTTTACTTTTATCTTTGGTGACGAAAAATTTGGTCGGTGAATATTTATTTTCGATAACCAAAACAACCTTAGTCGCCAAAAGTTCTACAATAGGCAACTAAAATTTTGTTTGGTCGGCGATGAAAGCAAATATTTTGGGGGGAAGTTTTTAAGATTTGGAGCCAATTCATTTATTCTATTACTTTTTTCATATTTTTTTTTATCAGTCTATCCAAACAAAAACTAGACTCTTGAGTCTTGCTCTCCCTCTTTCTCACTCTCATGGACGACGCACCATCACTTTACCTCCCATCACTCACCGTTGATCTTCCACCATCATTCACTGTCGATCTTCCACCGTCACACCGCTACCACCGTCACTTGCCTCGCATCTCCTCGCCTTGCCTTGCCTCGCATCTCATCTCTCTCTCTCTCTCTCTCCCCCCCTCTTGCCTCTTTTTTTTTGTCTACCTTTCTCTATTTTCCCATTTCACTCTACTTTTAGGATTTAGTCTTTTATGGTGTAGAGTTTTGATTTATGTGAAATCAATGAAAAATGATTGACATGGATTTCTATAAAATGATTGAAGGAACATGTAATTTATTAAGGATTTTTTTTTTTTTTTTTTTGCCAGAATGAAGATTTCCCCATTTCACTCTAGTTCATGTCAAAATAGGAAATTTTGATTTTTGGTTATCTTGTTGATTGGGTTTCTCCCTATGAGTTCACTAGATTATTTGGTACTGTTATTTTGTTTAAAGATTCAAATTTTGGTTTGCTTGGTAAGGCAGAATTTTTCAAAGAGGAATGCCCAAAACAACGGGAAAAGAAAAGAAAATTATATGCAATGTTGGGGTTAATAATATTAAAACCTAGAAACAAAGTGATGCATAATAATTTTGGGCTAAATAAGTCCTTATTACCCTTAGGCTTGATGCAAGGACATTTAATTTGGGGGGTTTAAGCCAAAAAGGAAGCATTTACACCTTTCACAAGTTTCCTATTTGATTGAAATTCCTTCATAAATCTAACATCTCCCTTTTTGGGTACCCAAAATTTTTTAATGAATCAAAGGTTTAATCCATTTGCCCTATATCTATGTTCCCATCACAATTGATTACATCCAATGGGGGGAAAAAAAAATACATTTTCCCCTTGTTGTTTCTATTCAAGGAACATAAATATGTAACACAATCATTTTTTACATTTTTTAAAAGAAAAGCATGACAAATAAGATGTTCGATTTAGAAAAGGAACATCAGGGAGAGATAATACCATCACAGTGGACTGGTTTAGATATATAGCCCTAAAATAACATGCTCTGGACATAAGAGGAGGACAGGAAGCTGGAAAGACAATGCCATTATGTTTCTTTATGAATAAAGACTAAACAATGTATTTCTATTTGTCACATTAAAAGTATTATTAAATAGTAAATATATAAGCATGTAATACTTGCCTTGGTTTAACATATACCATTACTGATGGCCTTTACAATAGTTGTATCTTCTAAGCAACCAAATTAACCAAATGACACTTCTTTTTCTCTCTATGTTCATTATGGACAAAGCAGGGCAAAGGATGCAAAAATTCTATCTCAAAGTGATGTTGTACTAACCACCTATGGAGTTTTATCTTCAAAATTTTCAACAAAGGTAAGAGGGAGTTTTTATGAGCATTAAGGCCGAGCTAAGCCCAGGCGTAGTAATAGGCCATTCTAATGGCCGTGGTGAAAAGGGCTTAGCAAGTGGACCTTAGTGTTAGCTCGGTCCAAGTATGATTACAGTCACCATGGTCGGAGTGGTGATAATTAGCTCGGTCATGGTATTCGGAGCCGAGGTATTATGGCTTCTTGTGGTGGACCTTGCTCTGATTAGCACAGTCAAAGCTTGCTGTAGTTAGCTCGGTCTCAACAGACAAAACCGAGGTACAAGTGAACAAGAGCTGAGCTATGAGTTGCATGTGAAGGCGCTGGATTAAGTATGACAAAGTGCTAGTGTTATCTCGGTCATACTTTCATCCAACCGAAGCAAAACCATCTCACTTGGTTTAAGCAGTGAGGGGGGTGTTGAAGGATAAACATTATCTTTCAAGAGTGTGATTCCTAAGAGGACTCTACGTGGAGAAATAAGAGTCATACTAGGATTGTGCCAAGCAAAAACTATAAAAGCTCACAACATAACCTATATAGAGGTAACACGACTTTGATTCCCGAATACATAGAGCTTTTGTCTATTTGTCTATTTTGGCTGACTTAGGCATCGGAGAGGTATCCGGCACACACCCGCCGACTAGCTCACGTTTGTGTTTTCAGGGAGCAAAGCGACGACGTTTAGAGGAGCACAGACTTGATCAACAGGATTATACGAGAACATTATTTCGTGCTCGTACAAAAGGTATCCTGAAGGATTCTTGTTTGAATTTATGTCATATCTTTGAGTACATCTTGCTTAAGTAGCATGTACAGATAAAATCAATATAAATTTGTCTTTCATTCTTTAGTTTTACTTTGTAGAATGCTAAAGAAAATTGGGGACTTTACTCAGTGAGATGGTTTAGGGTGGTGCTTGACGAGGCACATACCATAAAATCTTCTAAGAGTCAAATTTCTATGGATGCAGCTGCACTTACTGCTGATCGTCGATGGTGTCTTACTGGTACTCCTATCCAAGTATATTAATGTAATCAAATTGTGGTGTTGTATTGAGATTATTATTCAGTTAACCATCTTTTTCTTTGAACAGTTTATATTCTGTCTTGTGGTTTACCTTAACCATATGAGCAGAGTACAACTTGGGCATGTTCATTATTTAGCAATTTCATTTTTTTTTTCTTGTAATTTAAACTTTGTTATGAACTACAGTGTACAATTTGGACAAGTTATTCCTTTTTGGATGGTTGGTTGGAAGTGAAAATGGACGCAGATTGTGGAATGGTTGATAATATATGTATTGTATTGTTTTATTTATATACATGATACATGTTGTATGGAATACATACAGGCTGTGAACAAATTAATTAAAAAAATGATATTTTTTGTGACTAAACAATTGGTAGCTAAAAAGGAAGTAAATAATTTTAGCAACTAAACCTTTAGTACCTAAAAATAAACAAAATGAAAAAAAAAAAAAAACTTGTTGGCGACTAAATATTTAACCAAAAGAATCAGACTTTAGGTGACTAAACATTAGTAGCTAAAAAAAAATAAAACAAAAACAAAAATTTTGGTGACTAAATATTTAGTGGCAAAAAAAAAAAAGTTTTAAGCAACTAAAACTTTAGTATAGCTAAAAAAAATTTGGCGACTAAATATTTAGTAGCCAAAAAAAAAAAGTTCTAAGCAACTAAAACTTTAGTATAGCTAAAAAAATTAAGATGAACAAAAAAAAAGTTGACGACTAAATGTTTAGTCGCCCTAAATAATATAAGTTTTTGGTGACAAAAAGCTTTAGTAGTTGAAAATGCGCTATTAATTTTATTTAAAACCTTTTGGTGACCAATTGGCAACTTTCGGCGACTAAACCTTTTTTAGTCTCCAATTACCTTTCCCGACAATCATTCAACAACTAATTTGGTGACCAAAAATTTTAGTCGGTGAAAGTGCCATTTGTTGTAGTGGTCCCACACCATATGAGACATTTGGTAGAAAATTGATAAAAAATTTAAGATCTCTAGCATTACTCCTTGTATATCATTTTCCTATTAGCAATCATCAACATTTATTGAGCAAAACAAAAGAATAGTTTTAGGTACCCACTCTTATCTAGCCCGAATGTGATTTTGTGATTGTGATTGAATTTGAGTGGTGAGTGGTCCATGTATAGAATGAATCTAAATCATAAGATAATAATTCTGGGTAAATTCGGGATAGATAAGGGTGGGTTTGTAGTATTACTCCTAAAAAAATTCATCAACATTTATTCACCATCATAGTGTCTTAGGATCTATATTTTTTGAGATATATTACATTGTGCCCCTTTCATGTTTGGCTACTTTTTCACTTTAGCTCTTAAAGTTTTTTTCTTTTTGTTTTTTTTTTTCACTTTGACCCTTTACTCCTAAAGCAAACTACGGTTAAAAATTAGACAAAAACTGACACATTAACAATCACGTATTCACACATCTGACGCAAACTCAAACCCTAATATGAAAATAATTTTTTTATGTTATATAAAAATTATCGTGATATTTTTTGTCTATTTTTGAACAAA